GAAGGTACAACAAAATTCAATAAAACTTTTGAAACTAAGTCCCCATCACCCAATCACTTTTAGTATCAGTAGATTATGATGTTCCTGCATACACAGATGATCTATTCAGTAGATCAACAGTTTTGATCTATTTAATAGATCAACAGTTCATGTTAAATGTTGAAATCTGCTATTTAATAGATCAACAGTTCATCTTAAATGTTGAAATATGCTCAAGCTGGTGGTAGGGGGCGTGGACGGTAGTTTGCAGTTGACAATACCGTCAATGAACAGGCCGAATCAAACTGAGCCTGCAACATTTTTGCCGTGTTGGACTTTCTTTAGAGATTATTATTTTATCTATTTTATCTCGACATCAGCGTTGTTTGTGCCATGTGGAAGCTGTAAAAGTAGCCCCGTTCATTCAATCAATCAGAGATGTTATATTTCCGATCCTTAAAGACCGTTAAGCGACGCAAAATTGTTAAATTTGTGGTTATTTACTTATTTTGATTCGGATATTTTATTTTCTTGTTGGGTGGTTCCAGTATTCCTTACTAGAATGATGTTGAATCACCTTTAGGATATGTGAACTGCTTTTCAAATTAAATTTGTCTTTTGACGTCTTATCTGTGATATGCAGGCTTCAGTGTTGTTATATTTTCTGGTTTCTTCGGGATCATTGATGCCAACACTATAGAATTTGTTTGGTTGTTTGTTTCATTTTTACGCCTTTTCCCAACAGTATTTCAGTCATATAGGCGGGTAGTTTCCTAACCATCGTTCCTGTTGTGAAGTATTAAATTCTTGAAACAAAGTGATCCCTCGGAAGCATTAATCACAACAAAATAACATAAAAGTTGCAGACTCGGTTTGATTGAGTCTATACATGAGGGATAATGAATAAGTGCAACATCCCTCACGCCACCTAGCACCGGCTTGAGTGGTTCTCAATTCTCAACACTCTATAGTGTTTGTTATACCGCCTCCGTGGTCGAGGGGTTAGAGTCGATGACTTCTAATCCAGTTACCTCTCTGGCGTGGATTCGATCCCCGGGAGATGCTTTGGTAGTTTAGCGCTGAGGATGGTTCCATCGTTCCAAAATTAATACAAAGCAACTAGACCTTTTGTCCCTTAGGAATCAGTTCATTCCTATTCAAAGAGCCAAATACCTTGATCTGTTGTTCTGTGTCAAAAAGGCTTAACACAGCTTTTATCTGCTTATTACCTATGAGCGACATAGACACATAATATCTAGTGTTTGGAAGCTTTCGCTAGAAAATGAATTGAAAATGAAAAGGAAATGAAAATATGAATGTTTATAGGTTCCTTCTATTTGTTACATTTTTATGTTCTTAAAAGTTAACGTTCTAAGTGTTATGACTACATGAAACAATAAATTATTTAAAATTGATAATAAATTATATTCATTGAGTTTTTAACTAATGATATTTTTTATTTATGAAAAGAACATCTTACGTGAATGATTTTTTTGTTAAACATGTAGATGATTGTTTTTGCTCAACAAAGTCAATTCTGGAAACAAAGTGATCCCTCGGAAGCATCAATCACAACAAAATAACATAAGAATTGCAGACTCGGTTTGATAAAGTCTGTACATGAGGGATAATGATTAAGTGCAACATCCCTCACGCCCCCTAGTACCGGCTTGAGCGGTACTCTATTCTCAACACTTTATAGTGTTGGCATCAATGATCCCGAAGGACCAGAAAATATAACAACACTGAAGTGAAGTACGGGGCAACTTTTTACGGCTGCCACACGGCAGATTCCATACAGTGTTTTCAAATATTTTGTGCATTATTTAGAGATAAGAAAATCAGAATGACACGAACAAACTTACAGTTTAAGTCATAAAGTTTTACGTTTATCATTCTGTAATATAACAAAAATACTCATTGTGAAAAAGGAAGAAAGAGCAACAAGAAAATCACCTACAAGGGCCCGACGAAGCAAGACAGAAGACGAACATTAAGGCAATTCAGTCCCAAAAGGCTTTAAAATTAAATTTCAAAATTCCATTTTATTTAGTTCTGCCCATTGTTTTCTCGTTTAGGGCAAAAGCATTCTTTTACTTGGGGACCATACGCCGCTTTTCATGGAATGGCACTACTGAAGGTTCCATGATAACCGCCGTATGAACACATCTGCGGATGTTTCTAAATTCAAAATTTCAACATGTTCGTGTTAAATGTTGAATTCTGCTTAAGCCGGTGCTAGGGGGCGTGGACGGTAACTTGCACTTTCCAATACCGTCCATGAACAGGCTCAATCAAACTGAGCCTGCAACATTTTCAATTGTGTTATGTTGGACCTTCTTTAGGGATTCTGTTTTTCTCTATTTTAAGAAATGTCCATCATAGAGTCTCCCACTTGGTCCGTCAGATGTAATCAAAAGAGGAAAGCGTAGTGTCCAACTGTAAAAGGGTTGAACACCAAGCATGCAGTATGTCTTAAAATTGTAGGGTCAAAACCTCTTTTAATAAAACTTTTAAGAATTTAGTAAAATTAGCAGAAAAATCACCATGACCCATTAACTTACGAAGTTTGTAAATAACATCGCCATAAAAAATCAGACTGGCTAATCCCTTGTCAAAGAAGTGTTTTTAAATCACTTTTGAATTTTGAAATTAAGTCAAAATTACGATTGTAGAATTTAGTAAATATTAACGTAACTTATGATAGCGATAGCCCTGCTTTAAAAGTTTGCTGGTAATAAAAATATTTCGCTTGTTGAAATCCTTTACGTTGCTACAAGCTCTAGCGAATCTAATTTACCGAAAACATATACCCCGTAAGATGTTACGTAGGTACGTCTCCGCCTAAATGAGGATACTTTACTATACAAAACTGAAAGTCATCTATTTTATCATATTGTGTGAATAGAATTATTATTATTAACAGTAATATGAAGATCCATGAATGATGTTCTAAGACTTCAAGAGTAAGTTTCATTAAGCTGTAGTTCATGGGGATAAATACGTTTTCTTTATATGATTTCTGTGCCCCCACTTTAGTGGCGGGCATTTAGATTAACCATTGTCCGTCCGTCCTTCCGTCCGTTCTCTTTTGTGTCGCACGTCCCTCAAAAGTATTTGACCTAGAGTCATGAAACTAAACAGGAATGTTGATCAGCATGTGCAGTTGTGCACCTCGGTATTTTCGTGTGGATTTATTTAGTATTTTAGAGTTATGGCCCTTGACTTTGTAAAGTTTTGCAATTTTCATCTTGTGTCGCATGTTTCTCAAAAAGGATTTGACCTAGAGTCGTGAATCTTAAAAAGAATGTTGTTCAGCATGTGTTGTTGTGCACCTGACTATTTTTGTGTGGATTTATCTAGTATTTTTAGAGTTATTGTCCCTGTCTTAAAACATTTTTGCAAGTTTCAATTTCTGTTGCATGCAACTCAAAAATGATTTGACATAGAGTCATCAAATCTTACTGGAAGGTTGCTCAGCATATGTAGTTGTGCACCTAGGGTTTTGCTTGTGGATTTATCCATTATTTGAAGAGTTATTTCCCTTGACTTAGTAAAAATCTTTTCATTATGTTGTTATTTGTTCCTTGAGTGCTTGGGTTAGTAAAACTGCACCAACATGACAGGAATAATGATCAACATCACTAAATTACAGGAAAAATGATTCACATCATTGTGAAGCTATGTACCTGGGCCTTTGCATGTGAATTTTCAGTTTTGTTAGAGTTGTTTTTCTTGACTTACAGAAGTATAAATTTGCAATATATACGAAAACGACTGTTTGCATAATCAACCGTCGTTGTAAGTTTTGTATGATGGGAGAGTAAAAAATAGATTATATTTATGATTCACCATTGACTGTGCTTATTGTTGGTACCAATTTTTTTAAAACAAACCTATACGATTACAGTAGTGATTGAAGATACATCGCCTTCCAATGGATACAATAAATCGAGCATATTACTAAAGAATATACTTCATAAACGGCAAATCAGCCATTGATCAATTTCCCTTCCAACACTGCCTAATTGCTTCAAGCAATTACAAAGAATCTTAATATATTGTTTTATATTATGAATTAAGTTATAACTAAAGGGGGGCCACTTGTTTTGCTGACTTCAATTCTAATAGAACGTTAAATATTTCTTATAAATTGAACCTGCAATTTGAAATAATATTTGATAAATTTAATTTTTGGTGTTCCAGTATTATTTCTTAATTGCACTCAAAAAAATAGTTGAACACGTAAAGGACTTGTATCATTAAATCTATACAAGGAAAAGCTGACGACAATAACATGCACAGTACACGCTGAACTCAAAATGGAAATAGGTGAACAAAGTGTGTTTCGGACATAACGTCTCTTTTCCGTAAATACGAAATATACTAGGACGAAAAAGAAACGCCGGGTAACCTATAATGATTGTTGTAAGGGATAAATTGTATTATTGGATTATTATATTCATTTTTGTATTAAATGTCATCTGTATGGAACCAGCTGTTGAAGTTTCAATCGATTTCCGATGCTGATTATGTGAAAAAATACCCCCTTTTAACGATGACCCTTCTTGTTTTGCGAAACACGACCAGACATATCAGTATCTTGTGTGTCCTCCATGCGCAGCTGTGGCAGCCCTGATCCGTCTATGCATGGAATTCACTATGAAGGTGTTAATCATGGCCATGGGGATGTTATTCCATTCTTCATGCAAGGCATGTGTGAGCTGGACATGATTAGTGGGGCATTTGGACGTCTCCTTACCCTCCTATCCAGTTCGTCCCACAAATGTTCAATTGGGGACAAATCTGGACTGAATGCTGGCCAATCGAGTGGGTGTATGTTACTGTTGGCAAGAAATTGCTGTCAAACTCTGGCGACATGGGGCATTATATAAATCTGACCGATTTTCATTATTTTAGGCCAAGCAATAAAATATGTGTTGCATATTTTATGTACCCGGCGTTTCTTTTTCGTCCTAGTATATATTATTTATAAATAACATTTGTAATTAAACATGTACCTGTGTAGCAACGGCCTTTCTGTTATCTTTCTTGTCTCTGTCATCCTGAAAATCAATATTTACCGAAGAAAGTTTGAAAAAATTAATTGACATACTTATGTGGAAAATTTGAAAACAAACAATATTAAACACATGTTGGAACCACATATGTAAGATAAACGTTGCGATAGGAGGCTGCATGTTATTACAATTATATCGATATTTCTTTTGTATATGCGAGGAAAATGTTTTGAAGGTGGACGTTAAGACCTTCGTCAGATCTTGTGTAATGATAGATACGGTGATTTTTCTATTTGTTTACCATAAAGTTCTTCTATATTTTCTTGTCAGTATGTCATAGACTTTATAAACGTACTCGTACACAGCTCTTAATTGAGAAACCCCAGCCGAGCGGTATACTTTGTTTTAAATGTTGACACATGCTTAATACTTTCAAGGACTTTTTTGCGTATGTAAAAACCTTACCTCTCGATATTTGAAATGACATATGCAGGCATTTACAAAAAGAATGAGTCCGAGAAAAGCTAAATGTACACACATCCATATATCTAAATAAAACGTTGTTGAATCAAGTGATAGTCTCGAGTACGTCCCTGACCACTGTACAAACAACGAGATCAAAGTACCCGTAGGAACACCTATACGAGGAGTTATATTGTCTCCAAGGAGGAAGGATGTGAGCGCTGTTACAATAAGAATGGATGAAGGCACTGTTATCATCATATCGTATGATCCCTTTGGACGTGGTATTTGTATTTCTGTTCTTAGTGTTGAAAATTCTCCGGCTTCAATAAAAATAATTGTTCGTGAAACTTATCTTTTGCATGAAAAAATATTATGGAAACACAAAACATAAATTGTATATAAAGTAACATATTGTATATATAAAGCATGCAGAAAAAGGAAGTAAAATTCAATACAAGACTGTTTTCGGGGACAATACAGTACGTTTTTTTTATTTAAAATTGAAAGCAAAACTTAGCTACATAGCAGTTATTGAAACCATCATTTGTTTTTTATATAAAAAAATGTTAAAATTCAAGATCTGATGTGATATTTAGAGTGAAATACAATTTTTGTTTTCTAGGTAAGGACATATATTTGAACACAAAGCTATTACCTATTGGGTAGGTATATCTTGTCTCTATGCTTTGGTCCTGTAACGGTATTTTAGGTCTGATTGGATCAGATGATGGTGCAATTTGTACGGCATGGTCGCCATTCCAGTGAAGAAGAACATAATCTGTCGAATAAGCATCTACAAAATAAAAATCGTTTTAATAAAACTGAAAAATAAAATGAAAAAAAAAACTCACTCTATCATTCATTTCTACGCGAAATCTGTCAGTCACAATTCATATTTATCTAACAAACATATTTTTTCTTGGTATTACTAAGTAATTTCAGTAGAACCTGAACAGTATTTTCTTCTTTATAGACTTCAAATGTAAAGACATACTTACAGCTTTGAATTTCTATAGGACATGTTTGAGTGTCGAATGGGTATTTCTCAAAAGTCATTGTACAATGTAACTTTATGTTAAACCTACAATACAAATCATAATCAAGTTTAAATACGAAAACACAAATAATTACATTTACTATGATAATGAGATAAGTCATCAGTTTGACTTCTTATTGTTATAGTTTTTTCCAAAATTTGCATTTTAGTTTTCATTGTAATATATAGTAATTTATCAATTTCACATGTTCGTTTCACAAGAATGTATTTTATCATAATTATTGTTTGCAAGAATGTATGCGACACTTTTTAGCAAATAGTTTGAAATAACTGCATATTTGTTTCGACACTCTGACTTTTGGCAAATGCACTCCATTTTTAAACTTACTTTATAACAATTGAACCTATCTTATTTTTTTGCAATCTTTCTTTTCCTCTTTATAACATTTTGTAACTGTGCATCAAATTGATTGCATTTTGAAAGCTGCCATGATCAATGTTTTTTTCCTCACTTCTTTTCAAATGCATGTACTGTAAAAATATATTCTAACACACACTTGAGGTTTTAAGAAACTAAACAAATCGATTTTGTCATTGCAAATTGTGTCATTTGAAAGGAAATAAAAGTGAAAGTGAAAATATTAAACACTTGATAAAAAGCACAACCATACAAATTTTAATGTCCCGTTCATTAGTTTAAACATACACAATATCAATGTAGAATTAAAAATGGTATTTGATTGAAGACAAAAATATTTATGAGACTGAATGACGTATTACAACAAAACAAAATGAACACCAGTCACCGATATATTGCACACAAGCAAGACCTTCAGGTATGACTATTTCATCATGTACAATTTTGCTGTACCTACTGTCTGAACAAAAGCAGTGACTTCAGCAGTTTAGTATATTAGATGGCACAATATTGTCAACTAAAATGATTGATTTGCCGGTCATTGTATTATTTCGAGGATGTATTATTCATCATAATTGATAAGTATACCAGGCAAATGAAAATCAGTTAAACGGTTTTCAGTCTTAATAAAAAAACGTTTTATTTATTGTTTTTTGTAGAAAGTTAAACACATATAAAGTTTTTAAATGAAAATATTTATAGTACAAAGAGTGTCACATTGGCCTTCGACCTATTGCACTGAAAAACAATATTAACTATCTACTGGTCATAGTCAATGTTTATTCAACTTTCACAAACATATTTACTTTTAAGATAATGTTTAAAGATGAACGTTACACATTGTCACCGTGTTTAGTCTAAAATGTATTACCTTTTATCTAAAAGATACATGTATCTTAAATGTCAGAAGGTATTATTTTAAAGAGGACTTCAAATGATTATTCATGTTTCAACCTCGCCAGCTGGAATGTTGCTGGATTAAGTAAATATGTTGACAATACTGAACTTACACATTTCTTTTCTTTCCTTGATTTTATTTAATTATATGAATAACAGAAAAATGTATGGGTGAATTAAGCTTCTTTACAGACTTATATTTACTATGAACATGCTAGATTACAACGTTCTTATAGCATACACAATAAAGATGATTTTGCCGTTTTTTATACAATTTGTATAAACTGAATATTATTCATGTATTAAATATAATTTTGGGGTTGGTGTTGTATAAGTTTGTAATAATATTTTATTTTTAAATTTTTAAAGTAGTATTTTGCACTTTGTTCATGTATCATTATGTTTCAACACAAATGTCGCCCCGATTTATACTCCAGAGGGAAAAAATTGATTTTATTTACAATACCTTTTAAGGAAAAAAAATTCCCTTTCAATATATGTTAGAACTTACGATTTTTGACTTCAATTTTATATGAAAATTTTTTTTTTTGGGTTTTGCTGGGTGAGTTAAAATAGTTTTTTTTTAATATCAATAATCAGCGTTAAAAAGAAGTGTCTTTCAGTCCAAGGGTAGGGGGTTTGGGGCTGTAAACGGGCCCACACGGTTCATTTCCCGGGCGGGCAGAAACACTCACCTTGTGATTTTTAATAATCATTTTTAAGTCATTGCACGTACCCCTGCTTTCCCTGTACATAAAAAAATTGTTTTTGCGAAATGAAGGGATTAGTACTGATTACGCTTGATAGCCTGTCCAGGGACGATGCGGTTACTTAACTGTGATCTTGCATAAAAACTACAACCATCAACCACAACCACAATCTTTTAAAATATTCATATGTCACTGGGTCATAAAAGGTATTAGAAAACCTTACTGTATACTGTTGCCCACTTTTGTGTCTGAGAGAGAAAATCCGCTTCATTTGATGCGGGTCGGGATTACTTTGAATAGTATTTCTTTTTCCCGGCCTTTTCAGTTTGACTTAATTTATTGGGAAGAACTAAGTATATGTAAAAATAACATTGACCATTCCATTCCAAACTTACAATCTGAAAGCTTGGAATCTGATTGGTCATTGTAAATTTTGGATATAACATAAAGTATTTTTTTCTGACATGGTACAGGCGTCTTATTGTTTATTGATCTAAGGGAGATATTCAAACAATATTTTTCTTTCAAGTTATATTTCAAATAATTAATACTTGTTTCTTAAGCGAGTTAAAATATGGGTTTAATCTACAATGACTGGCCTGTTCGATATAAACTCGGCAGCTATGTAAATAGACGTCGTACCTGCCACTGTAGAAAACGCTTCCATTTTTGTAAATGTATGCCAGCTGGTTTCTTTCAAACAAACCATGTAAAAGTGACTGTCGTTCATTGAGAAAGTATAAGTCAGGTATCCAAAGATGTTTTACCATATCATCGCCAAAGTTGATGACGTCGTATGTTGTTTCATTTCTGGTATAATCTAGTCGTGGATCTGTCCAATTTATTCGAAGGTAGAGTGTAAACTCAATTTCCTTAAAAAAATATCAAATTAACATTTAATTGTCTATTTACATAACGTAAGACACCATTTGAAGAGATATGTTATAAGATGTCTATTATATGAAAATGAAAATTTAATTTGACGAAAAAAATATTTCAGCTGTTCTTGTTGCTTTGTCTTTTATATATTTTAAATATCATGTATCGTTTGTTGTAATATGTCACTCTTATTTTTTAGAACATATATTGTGACAGAACATATAAAAGTATCACAAAATTTAATACAATTTTTATTTTAAGAACACTAAAAATATTGCAAATAAAAGCATATTGCTATATGTTCAAAGGTGATAAAAGTAAGATTAATGTGAATGCATATTTACAGTGAATTTTGTTTATAATGGAAGGCACGTTTTCTTACAGTAAACTTCATTGATAGTATTCACTTTAGACATATTGGAATTATTCACTGAATATGTTAACAAGTTTGAGATATATCTACCAATATGACATATATTTATATAGCAGTCAACCAAATGTTCTAGAACGATAAAAATGATATATAAAATGTTCAAACAAAATTACTTAGACCAAAAAAGAAAAAAGAATACTCAGATAGTATATTTTATTCTGTCAATATGTCAAATGATGTGTCAAATGAAGACCAATTTACTTTAAAAGTATCTGATAAATTAGTTATGTATCTTGAATCAAGTGATTCCTAGGAAGCATTAAAAACAGAAAACAACATGAAAATTACAGACTCAGTTACTTTAAGTACATGACCAAGTCATCACAGAAGTAAGGGAAGTACACACACTCTGTCAAAATGTTTATATACATCGATAAAACAATTATTGTATTTAACGTCGTATTTATTTGCTCCACCAAAAGGTAAATAAGTTCATCTTAAAATATATTACTTCTTAATATATAAAGATATGGGCAACTGTAAATTTTCAATAGCCCCATATTCTAAAATGCAGAAAGTTATAAATAAAAGCCATAAATATGACAAACAAAATCAACAAGGACAGGCGGCACCCAATGAACGCTAAAACAACCGTTAGCTGCATTACAATTTCCAAGAACTATACTGTTACTTAAGGTGGAACTGTTGACATTCTTTAAAATCAACAAAGTATTTTACATATGGCTTTTTCAGAATGAATTCTTGCTATTTCGTCTTTCGGTATAGGTTCACTAGTAGATGTTTAATACTTTTTTTACTGAAAAAGGCTAAGCTGTTCATCTGTATATTTGAACTCACAATCTATAGATTTTAACCAAAATCCAAAGCGAGTCGGAGCAAGTAGTTACAGAGAGGAAAGCCATTTATGCCAAAACGAGTAGTCGCCTTATGTTAATGATTTAATTGTTGCATAAGTAATCAAAATGCACGTTAAGAGAAATAGAAATGAATACAATATAATACTCACCCTGTCTTTATCACTCTCCGAGTTAAAATCAGTGATGTAAAGTTGAACAGAAACATTTGTAACATTATCTGTAAAGTAAGTGAATGGATACAAAGTAAGCATATCTTTATTTTTATAAAAAATAAGACACACATTGAAAGATTGCAGTCTCATTAGTAAGACACACCTTAACATTATTCAACATTTTATAAATGGAGAATAACATCATAAAAACTTCTTATTAAAAACAAAGTTGATATGTAGGAAAATACCTGAACTTGGTGGGAAGTTATGGTCATAATCTGCTTCTTCCAAAAGATAACGCATAAGATCATTCCTGAAATGAACATTTATGGTATTTTTGTTAGCTATAGCTTTTCGAATGTTTGTTGGTATTTTTGTGTAGGTACCTTTATGTAATGAAATTTATGTTTCAAACAGAAACAAATGGCCATGAAATAATCGCACCATCAAATCGAGATGCATGCACTATTACATGTTGGGACTGCGCTTCCTCCATATGCATGTGTCTAGACTGTTCATAAGATATAAACGCTATGCCAAGATAATTTGTCTGATTCACAAAGTTGCTGTTTTTTCACCTGTGTTTCATGACTAGATTTGTATTTTCCTAGAAAATTTGCTTCAAACCCTCAGGGAAATATCAGAATGACACGTTAAATGGAAAAAACCCGTCCTTCTTAAGAGACAAATTCAAACACACATTTCAACAGTTTTCGTTTTGATATATCTGTCTTGGTTAGTATAAGAAATACGCAGTAAATCAGGTTTTCAAAGAACAAGTATTGATATGACTAGGACTTAGGAATAAAATGAAGAATGGCTGTAAGTTAAAAATGATACTGTTATTTATACCAGCACAGAAAGATGTTTTCAGTAGTTCAAAACAAAAATATACAATTTACTTGTCTGAGTAACAATACCAGGCTGTATTTTATGTAAATTAGACACATGCCGAGTAAAGTATCAATAGGTCAAAGTGGACCAAAGTTATTGAGTAGAAGCTAAACATTCTTTTGTAAGCAAATGACTATGACCTTGCTCCAAAGTATGTAAACAACAAATCCAAGCTGTGTCGTAATATAAGCTACCCAAACAGGTCGTTTGGTGTCAATAGGTCAAAACAAACTCTTGTTACGTATAAACTGAATTTCTATAAATGGCAACAGTGACATTGGCAAAATTAATAGACATGTGGGTAGCAATTCCAAGTTGCTCCTTATAGCTACTTTTACACCTAATTTTCTGTCAAAAGGTTATAGCTGCTTTCTCAAGTTATTATGCGGAAACTCAGGTTCCATGTTTAGCACCAATGACCTTGATCTTAATCTAGGTCACCTAATTCTAAACCAAGGTAAATATAATGTGAAATCTTAAACCAAATATTTGTAGCAATATCAATATGCCTCTTGATATAAGCTACCAAAACACAAATTTAAGTGTCAAGTGGCTAACACAACTAAAGTTATTGAGTGGAACACAACTTCTATTTTTGGGAACATTTAAATTGACCTTGATCACAGACACATGGGTTGCAATCTCGAATTACGACATCAAATATGCTACCAACACACCAAGTTTAAGGTCTCATCAATCTGTTGTAATAACATGGAAACTGAATTTTTATTTTAGCAACATTGACCTTTCCAATGATTCAAACATCTGGGTATCAATTGTAAGATCCCAATAAGCTATAGCAAACTCAAGTTATTGAGCGGAAACAAATTTGATATTTTTAGCAACAGTGATAAGAGGAAACATTTTTTCGGCAACATTGATTTTGACCTTAATTACAGACAGCTGGGTAGCAATCGCTAGCTTTGTCTTGATATTATCTACCCATACACTAAGGTTGGTATCAATAGACCAAAAACTAATTTTGTATTTTTACAACAATGGCATTGACTGTGATCCCAAGCTGCCACTTGATATAAGTATTTAAATGCCAAAAGGCCAAAGGTAACAGAATTAATTATTTGAGTGGAAACCAATAGTTGAAACCCGCCCGCTTAACCGGTTTTCGTTAAACAAAACATATTACAGCATATTTAATTACCTGGTAGGTTCTATGTACGCACAGTAGGCACTGGTCACCGATAGGATCAGAAGGCATTGACAATAGAACTGTCGATATACAATCATCATTTTGTTTGTTCAGACCTGAAAATTGAAACGATATATTTCATTGTCAGTTTATATAAGAAAGGTTATTAACCTTTATCAAACATGAGACAAAGCGTTCAATGGTACTTCACAACAGATGTGTGTACGTATTGTGTCAATATTACACAAATGAGTTTAATATGATCGATGTCACTAAAACATAATTTAACAATGTCAGTTTGTTTGTTTGTTTTTTGGTTTAACGTCACATCCACACAGTATAGGTCATTTCGCGACGTTCGAGCTTTACTGGTGGAGGAAGACCTCAGGTGCCATTCCGTGCATTATTCTAACACGAACGGGCACCTGAGTAGAACCATCGACGTTCCGTAAGCTAGCTAACAATGTAACATTGAATATCTAATTATAATATATTATCTTTCAGAAACACTTATGACCTAGTATATGGTTACATTTTGCAGGGCCAAATGGAATAATGTAATTAAATCTAAAACATTATCACCTCCTTGCATTTACGACTGCAATGACGCTACATGTATTCTCCTCTTGCAAAATTCAATAATCCTCTATAAAACAACGATTTTGATTTCGATTTATATTTAATGAAGAATCTAACATCACTCAAGTAGTAACAATAACAAAATATTTAATGAAACATCGAACATCATGAATGTTCGTTAAATCAAAAATATTACAAGTTGTGATCCGCCTCACGGAATTGCATCTATCCTGTGAAAAATATTTAATTGATAAAACTAAAAACCATGAACAAGATAATTCCTCATTAATAAGTAAGGTTTTATAAAAACTGACACTAACCTGTAAGTGTATAGGAAAATTCTGGGTAAAACTTCAATTACAAGTGTAGCAGTAGGTTTGGCTTGAATTTAGTTATTTGCACTTGAAAACAATTTTAGTTAAGAACGAACTGCAGGGGCAAATATATTGATATTTATGATAGGAATCCCTTATCATGCATGCATAAAATAATTGGTCTATAAAAATGCAAGTTTTAGAAATGTTTTAATAGTCGGATTCTGTTTCAATTTCACTGTGTTCTTATAACAACAACAACGACGACGACGACGATAACAACAACAACACAGCAGCAGCAGCAGCAGCAGCAGCAGCAGCAGCAGCAGCAACAACAACAACAATAATAATAATATCAAATCAAATTCTCTGAAGGCGGCCGACTACCAATGACATTATATTCAGAGTCATCGCCGAGAACAACGCAATATCTCAATCATCGAGGATGGACAAGTAATTAAAGACTAACGGAGACAGTTTGCTTTAACCGAGAACCAAACCAGCGACCCGTAGATGTCAACGATTTTATTTATGAAGCTATCTCTAATAAGTAAAACACATTTCAATACAGCAAACAAAACAATGAATACATTATTTGCCTTTGACTTCATAATATGACAATGCTGAAATAAATAATATAGTATGTATTTATATATTCATTTATTCATTCATGTATTTATTAATTTACTTTAGTTTTTGTGTGTTCATTTATATATATATATATAGATATTATGTTTCACGGAGCTTTGAAGATGGCTGTAAGATAAAATAAATGACCTACAAGCAAACTACTTGAACAAGATAACAACTTCAATGTGTTTAAAACTAGCGAATATTATCACACGATTTTAAGTGGATTATGAATAGGGCACAAAGTCTTGCTTATTTAATCTCTAAGATGAGAAACAGATAGAACATATAGCAATAGAGTAAGAAATTGTTTGATAACATCCATTTAATGTTCAAAATGTTTAAACCAATTTTAGCTTAAAAGTGGAAACATTAACATTTATTCAGCCTTTATCTGTTATGAAACTGTAAAACTGTAAACCAATTACACTGACTTACAGTATCATTTGTAGATATGTTACTGTTTAAAAGGAAACTCAGACAAATTAATGACCAAATATTACAATGATTTTATGTACCCCAATTACGCTAAAATGATATGTTTTAAAGTCCCAGCATGAATTTCTGTATACATGCTATATATTTTGGGTTTTAAGCGTAAACACATTTATATATGTTGACGCCAGCAAAATCACATGGTAGTTGAAATCACAGCAAAATCACAACAGCTATCTTTGACATTGTATGATTTAAACAAGTTCATTCATTTGACATGTTCTTTAACGTTTCAAGAGCTCACTATAACAACTTTTGTGAACTCTGAACGCTCTAACCTGACCCACGTTGGTCAAGGTAGGGAGCCACCATTTTATTCTGTATAAGGAGAAAAAAATGTGTTCCTTTGACTGCTTGGTGTAATTACTGTGAGGACATTTATAGATTAAAGAATGAAAAATTCAAAACGAAGAATTAAAAATTTTGCTTGTATTTCCTTTTTAAGAATTGCATATTTATTTAACATTTTTTTCTTTGTTACAGTCTGAAGAATACGATGATGTTATATGCAATCTTCTTATCGTGGTGTTCTTTCTTTACACGAATACATACAAACAAACCAGGAAGTTTACTATATTTTTTGGTCATTATTATAAGCAGTAAGAATATATGACATAGTGTACTTCTAAACAATACCATTATGCGTGCGTTTCGCTACAATTGATGTCATATTAAGAGTTGCTTTACCCAATGTTAATCATTTATATAATAATGAAAAAAATGATAAATTGCTGAGGTTTAATGTGACAAAACCTACCTACCTACCCTACCAAACCTTACCCTACCTTACCCTAACCTATTCCTAACCCTACACCCAACCCTACCCTAACCCTTATCCCTACCCTACCCTACTGACCGACCGAACGATCTTCCTACAGACCGACCGACCGACCAACCGACCTTACAGAACGTCGTTGGTTCAACTCAGGTGCCCGTTCGTGCCTGCAATAATGCACAGAAGGGCACCTGAGGTTTTCCTCCACATGTAAAGCTGGAACGTCGCGATATGACCTATATTGTGTTGATGTGACGTAAAACAAAATCAAAACAAACAAAAAAACCTACCTACCTACCTACTTACTTACTTCCGGATTAACTGACTGACTTACTGGTTTACTGACTTATTGACTTACTGGCTTACTCACTGATTTCCTGACTGACTGACTGACTGACTTACTTTTACATACTTAATTAGTAACTGACTTGCTGACTGACCGCCTGACTCACTTTCTTGCTTACTAACTATTAATACATCTATCATTAGGCAGTGAATGTATAATTATATCACAACCAAGCCAAACATGTCTGGAAAAATAGTTATATTGACATATACATGTATGTATGTATTGCGGAAAAAATGGAAACCAAATCAACCATGATAAACCTCTACACTCAAGTACAGAGAAAATAATCTTATAATCTAACTGATCAGTTAGATGAATAGTTGAAGAGCCTTATATGTTTTTCTTCTTCTCAAATAATCGGAAACATTCAAAGCGTATGCCAAAATAGTTGTAGTAAGACAATATAATCACCAAATTATTATTTATAAAATATGTTAAATCAAAATAAGTGAGATACTTACCTGACAACTTTCTGAAGATGAATCTTGTCAAATGTTGTAAGGAGGGTCGTAGAATACGTTAAACAGTACAAAGTCGACCAGATAACAGAGCGAGCAATGCAAGAAACAACATATCCAACCGGTGTCTATTGAATATTTACATTCGTTACAATAACAATATGGTATATGTCACTAAAACATTATCAAATTTTATGTAGTACTACTTGGATAACTAAACACTTTTCTGTGGCAGTTGAAAATGTAAGGTGATGGTAATATTATAGTTTTTATTACAATATTACATTAGACGCTGCAAAATGTAAATGTATACTAGGACACATGTTTTTCTAATTGAGATATAGAATATTATTGGTTATCTATTATAACATTGTTAAAAAACAAAGATAGTGACCAACAAGACAAAAGCAGCGTTCACATGACGCAGCCCCCGACACACCCGAGCAGGCACCCAGAAAACACCAAACTGAACCCAGAGTTGTCATAAGGGTTGGAAGGAAAGGGGCATGTAATGTGTGCAATAATATAAATCAAAACAGGCCCATATGGTAATAAAAGGGAAAAGGGTTGTAAGAGCGAAAAGGGGAAGGGGTAAAAATGGGATGGGGGAGGGGTGAGAATATTCCTTCCGTAAACGACATTACAATAAGGTAGACATCACAAAATATGTAAACATTCAAAACAAGTACGAAAACAGACATGGGAAACACGTAAAGGAACACAGATAGGTACCGCCTTGGAACAGTTGTGGTTTAATCACTTGGGAGTATAAACCGATTTAAGGCGCGCCAAACCTCACTCTAAGCCCCAGTATGTTGCTAAATGACACGAAAGTGTAAATAAAAGTTATCCCCGCCAAGTAAAATTCAAATAATGGTCATGGTAACATTGGAAAAAATAAATAAAACACGTAAAGATTATGTAAATATGTAGGAAAAGGTACAGTCTAATGACCATTATCAAAGTACTCGATGCCTTAAAGGAAGGAAGGGCAACAAGAAAATCACCAACAAGAGCACGACGAAGCAAGACAGACGACGACAATTAAGACAATTCAATCACAAAGGACTTTAAGAACTGTCCATCATAGAGTCTCCCACTTAGTCCGTCAGATGTTATTAAAAGTGCAAAGTAGTTAGCAACTATAAAAGGTTTTAACACCAAGTATACGGTATACCTTAAAATTATTGGGCCATAACCTCTCTTAAGATGAAAAATTACCATGATCCATGATTCCGTAGAAATCAGGTTTGCTAATACCTAGTCATAAAAGAGTTTTTAAATTACAATTTATTTTTAAAACTAAATCTGAACTACGATGGTGAAGCTTGATAATTGACAATTTTTAACTAATCTAAAATTTCAGATGAATTTTTAACAAATCAAACAAGATGTTTGCCCGTATTTTTATAAACTGTTTAACAGTATCTAATGACACGCGTCTTGACGGCAGTAAGACAAGAAGTCAATAAAATAGAAAGATTACTGGTAGCACAAGATGAAGAATCAGCAATTAAGCGGGCTTTATATTGATGTTTATGTTATTTTGGAATCCCATACATTAAAGGGAGGTTAAGCTTTTTCTCATCAACCCGTACTTTAAAGTTAAAAATACTAGAAGTATGATTAAGAAATAATATATCCCAAACTGTGATTTTATCGCTCAATAACATCGGATTGGGGGAAGAATATCACGGGGGCGTAGCCCGAGTGATATAATGATTCGCATCCGAACAACAGTGATGTTATCCGGCAATAAAATCACTGATTTGGATATATTATTTCGATTCTAACACGACATCAACAAATAAATCCTGCCGTACCTGATATTTAGCAAAATTGCGCCTGATTTGTTTCCGTATTTAATGTCAGCGCGTCGGAATTTGAAGTGGTTTTGTCACATGAATAATGATTACGTCACATGTCTAAATATAGAACGTCAAACAGATACTTTTTAGCATATTAACACACACTTTCAGTTCTTCTATTTTCAATAGGGAAAAATGCGGGTCGTGTTAGAATGGTTTACAATATCTCTTTCAGAAAGAAGAAATTTAGAATAAGCATAAGTGCTGTTTAGGTCATTTTGTAAAACATTTATATATTTAATACGTCATATGATGATTATGTTATTTGCCGACTTGTCAACCGGAACTAAAACAATTTTACAGTGGAACGCTTATTCATCCTTTCTAAGATGCCGAAAAGTAAGTCTATGTGTAAGTGGTAAAACATGTTCATTCCCACGACAAATTTCGAAACGTGATTCATTAATATTAAAAATAGTATCTTTCAATGTATTAAGTGCATTATTATCAGCATTTTTGCACAACACTATTTTAAAGATAAGTCCTCGATCGATTCAGCTATCTGACTTTGACAAACATTAAAATTAATATCGGAAGGAATTGTCCTTTAAGAAATATATGACGAATTCCCTTGCCGTCTATTTTATCAAAATTACCAGTGATAATACGGCCAAAATTCAAGTAACATAACTTTAGCAATTTCAAACTAATTGGTGTATAAGACTCTAGGTCAGAGACAATTTATATATATATTATATATATATATATATATATATATATATATATATATATATATATATATATATATATGTATATATATATATATATATATATATATATATATATATAGCACATAATTGGTAATCTCAGATTTTTTGAAATATCGGTAACGCGTTTATCAAGAAATATACTAGGTAAATCGATGAAATCAATACCTTTGTTTAGAAAAGTGTATTTCAGAAAGTGCCCGTCATGTTCAGCGGTGGTGTCGATATCAGGTCTTAAAATATGCTGTGTAAAATTCATATAAGGTAGATTTTCGTATGTAAACGATCAGTTCGGATAACTATGTTATCAGCTTCTTCGTCTAAAACTTTAAGAGACCGAAACAAAAGAAAGATTAGACGTGATAACATAGCATAACTTTCGAATGTTAAGAATAGAAAAAAATGTCAATACTTGGATCTTTAGAAATATATCCTTGTTGAAAGATATTGCCATTAAGGCAAATTTGAAAAGGGGTTTGTAAATTTTTAATTCATTTCAACTCAGCTAAAAATGTCTGGCTTTTACTTCAAAACCAGATGCTGAGTTGTTACATGTTTAAAAGAATGGCCAGCTTTTCTAAAGTGTTAATATAAAAGAGATGTAAATTTGCTTCGATTTCTCATTTTATAGAAGTGTTCTCGGAATCTAATGTTAAGAAAGCGTCCGTTTTACCCAACATACTGAATGCCGCAACCTGGAGTATTTCATGTTAACACATAAATAAAATGAGTTGACTTTCAGTCTATATCAGAGTAAAAAAATGTATTAAATGTTGTGCTATTAATTGTAAATGTTAAAGTAGACATGTACGATAATAAGTTGCAACATCTACACCTCTTTGAATTACAATTGTTTATAGAAGGGTACACCATAGACCTATAAGAAAGTTTGGTCTGTTTGATATTGTATTTCTTGAAAAGTGTATGTTTAATTGGTGAATATTTAATACGGAGTTCTATTAACACTGTTTTACTGACATTAAATGGCACTTTTACAAACTTATATTTTCTAATATTGACACGATACGTATAAACGTTTGCTGTAAAGAGGGACTAAACTCATTGTCGCATGCTTCATAAAGGTTTCACTGCCTTTTGATAAATAATAAACGTTTCAGTTTATCATAGGTCTTTATCATTATCGGAAGCATAATAATGCCATGAGTTACTTGTGCCTTAAGTACCTACATAACACTTACAGAGTAGAATAATAGTTTGTATTAAGTTTTAGATCCTATTTGGGTTCTGTGTTTAATAAACAGTTTTAGAATAACTTGATACAAGGGTAATTTTTTTCTCATTCTTTATTGAATTCTTACACAACTCTGGAAGCAAAGTAATGCCTCGGAAGCATTAATCACAACAAAACTACAAGAGAATTGCAGACTCGGTTTGATTGAGTCTGTACATGAGGGACAATGAATATGTGCACCATCCCTCACAAGCCCTAGCACCGGCTTGAGTGGTATTTAATTCTCAACACTTAAGGTACAGCATGGGTAATGGGCACCATAAGGAACTGTAAAAATGACAACATTGGACAGTTATATGTCTTCAAGGTCACCTGTATGAAAAAAATTAAATAAAATTTACCGTGTGATTTATGAGTTATTAAAAATGTTTTTCTTTCGCCCATTATTAAGAAACAAATAATGACATTCAGGTAACAAATTACACATTCAAGCAAAATGTTTGTTTCTAACCAAAATATTCTTAATATGTATAAAAATGCTACCCTACCCACCCACTTAAACACTTTTTTTACCACTTTACTATATATAATGCCTTATTCAAAATATACCTAAAATCGGGCTGTTTTCAAAGTTTGCCTAAATTTTCTTAAAGGTATATTGGTTGATCATGCGAAATATAAAATACTTTTACTGTGTAGTTTTTATTTTATTAAACTTCAAAAGTATCTCGTATCATATTTACCATAAATGTTGACATTATTTAGCAAATAAAAACCTACAATAATTAAATAATTTAAATCCAACCCTTTTTTCTTCCATAAGGGATCAAAGAGATACATAAATAATGTTAAAAAGCAAAAGAATATACATATTTATAAATCAATCATAAATTACAGGCGACCGCCTCCGTGGTCGAGGGGTTAGAGTCAATGACTTCTAATCCAGTTTCTTTTCTGGCGTGGGTTCGATCCCCGGGAGATGCTATTGTAGTTTAAAGCGGAGGAAGGTATTCCAGTACTGGTGTAACTCTCCAGAAACGATGGTTACGAAACTACCAGCCTATATGACCGAAATTATGTTTGGAAAAGGCGTAAAATGAAACAAACAAATAAGCAATTAATTACAAGCGCTGCAAAAGACGTCCCTACCTTATCATCTGCCTATATACATGTAATAGCTAATGCCCAATCATTGAATTCCATTTCCAAAGTTGGATAGATGCAATCAAATGTCTAAAAAAAAAAAGCTTCAGATGATAACAGATTTTAAAGGAGTCCGCTGAACACCTTAAATCGCCTTTTGTGATTTAGTTTATTCCAGTTTACACATTTTGTACGTTCCATCATCTTCGAAAAAAAAAATATGAA